TAACATACATGATGTTTTCATAAATAAATTGACATGGAACGGTCATAATGTTGATCTCCCTAAACCTTTCTCTGAGAGATTCGCGACGACCTAGGTTGTAGATAGCTCTGACGGCGCGCTTTTGCAATACAAAGATAGACTCAATGTCAGCAGCGTGTCCCCACAGCAAAATGCCATACGACATAATGCTATGAAAGTAACTGAAATACACTAGTCTTGCCGTTTCTATGTCAGTTAACTGTCGTATCTTCCAGACAGCATACGCTGCAGAGCTCAATCGTCCCGCTAATGATGTGATATGAGGACCCCATTGCAATTTGTCGTCTACAGTAATTCCCAGGAAAGTTGTCTCTTTTACAAACTCTAATTTCTCACCATTCAATAATATTATGTCACATTCGTTGCTTTTAACATTTGGCAAAACAAATCTAATACATTTTGTCTTTTTATTGTTTAGTACTAGATTATTTAATGTAAACCAATTTTGAACTTTAATTAGGGCATTATTTACGTCGTCATAATTATTTGTGCGTCTGTTTATTTTAAAAACTAATGAAGTGTCATCAGCAAATAATACCATCTGCGGTTCATTTTTAAATAAATGGGGCAAGTCATTTACGTACACTAAAAATAAGAATGGACCTAGTATCGAGTCATTTACGTATCTTAACTTATACATAGTTAAACAATGGCAACTAGAACTTCATCACGACGATGTAGATGCAAAATACTCTTCCAGCCACATCCAACCAATAAGAATAAAATTCATAGCATGATATTAGGCATATACTATTAATTAAAAAAAAACTAAAATGGCACGAATACAAATCATTATTTCTGCGAACTATTGAAACATTCGATAACGAAATGAAACAATGAGACGCTTTTTTGTTTAAACTCGTTGTTTCTTATTTAGAAATCGATTTGGTAATGACCATATTGAAAGTATAAAACTGTATATAAAGTGAATTATTAGAAAAACTCTTTTGAAGTTAAATAAAAAAGTCGGATAAAAATATTTGGAATTTCCTCAAGGATTTTCCAACAATATAACCAAAAATAGACCATGTTTTTAGATCTAAAGTCCTCTCCTGCAGTACCGACGACAATGAAACTGATGCTTTTATCACCCAGACAGGTAACATAGGCAAATTCTAGTATAGACAATTTAGAACAAAAACCACTTCGAATTAAAATAAAAAGGTAACAGACGAATTAGCCAAGCGTAAACCGTCAGACGAGGTAATTGACGAGAAGAAACTAATGCGGGTGGTTCATTGCATTAATTACTTATTTGACAACGTTAGCGTTAAATTAATACTTTTAGTCGAGTAGTCTCAATGGGACAAATTATTATATTGTACAACACATAGATTATACTTCGATACCTTCAGGGAATAAAGTACCTATATCCATCTTTTGATGCTTCGTAAAAAAAATAGTGGTCGGTTAAATTTTGAAAATGAGCCTAATTGCAATAGGCACATGGTCCTCTAGGACATGGGATTCATCACGTAAATGGCGAAAAATGTCACCTTCATTCAATACTCAGAAGGCGAATAATTTCACCATCATTCAATAACAGTATCTCTGCTCCTGCGAGCTACAAAAAGTTTTACGTCATACAACTGATAGCTAAAAAAGGATATAACCATAAAGATACCATGTAAAAAGGTTCTAAATCTCCTGTTATCTGGGAATTATGCAACTTTATATGCGCAAACGCGGATATTACTCACACGACATAGCGGATGACATTCTCCATAAAGTTAATGCTTGGTTATATGGATTACATAAATTATATAACTTTAAGTACTGACTGTTTAATATGATAGTGTCTCTATTAGTACAACGTATTGCACCTTAATTGGGCGTAGTCGTTGTTAGAAAAAAACAATAGACGATATCTCATATTTTTTATTTCTCAATAAAACTTTGAAGGAGTTTCTATATTAAAATAATTATGTATCATGAACTTTATTAATAGAGGATCTATTGTTAAATCCCTCTTCTCGTAAGTAGTTATAGTAATTGAAGTTAATCTTAATAGTTTCCGCTGTTTCGAGTTGTAAAAGAGTTCTAAGAAGCTCCGTTCAAATATTAGTCCATGCAGTAACAGTTAGAATAATAAGTAGTATTAATTTAATGATTAAGCAAATGACGAGACCAGAATACATTTTTCACAACACTTCTATAATAGACTGCCTCGTTGGCCGAGTGGGCGCAAGTGCGACTGCTGGTCAAGAGGTCTCGGGTTCGATTCCCGGGTCGGGCAAAGTATTACTGGGTTTTTAAAAATCTCAGTAGTAGCACGGAGTCTGGAAATGTGCCCGGTATATGGCAATAGGCTCACCCCCTATTACCAGGGGCGTCATAACATAATTAGTGAAAAATAATTAGTGAAAAGTGGGTGTTACATTGTACAGGGGCATTTAGTACCGTAATGTGCACCTCTGCCTACCCCTTCGAGGATAACAGGCGTGATGTTATGTTATGTTATGTTTCTATAATAGAATTATAACAGAAAAAATCATTTAGAAGAAGTTCTTAGTTTAACCGCCGCGTAGGCGACTTACGACAGCGGAGGTTTTTTTTTACAAACATATAAGTTCACATACACAAAGACACCCAGACTTGAAACAACAGTTTGTGGATCACACAAAGTGTTGTCCCGTGCGGGAATCGAACCCGCGACACGTTGCACGGCAGCCGGTTGCCCAGCCACCGCACCAACCGTGCAGTCAAATATTTGCCTTTAACAATTGTCTTTCGGCAGTCAAAGGCTTAAAAAGATAAAGATAACAAGTTACCAAAGAATTACGAACTTCCACAAAATAGCAATTAGCATAACGACAAGTTTCTGAAACAAAGGCCGTCATACATCACCCACTTATAGAACAACGTGTCATATCAGAATCCTTTCCCGTTGAATCATTGCTTATCTCGAACAACTGCTTATTTAGGTCTGCAGATGACGATAATACACAAAATGGTCCTTTGTGTTGAATTCAATTTAATAATAATGGACACAATAATTGTTTTTGAAAAAAATATAAACGGTTAAACAAATTGTGACAGCCTATCAGCCTAGCCAAGCGTTGTGACAGTGCGGCCACAAAATCAATAATTATGTGAATGCTTTCATTTATTATTCTAGTGTTCTATGACAGTGAAGTGCACCTCTTTTGATTTTATGTGTCGATAGTTCATATGCTATGTTCGTATGTAAACTGTCTCATTGGCCGAGTGATTGCAAGTGCGACTGCCGGGCAAGGGGTCTCGGGTTCGATTCCCAGGTCGAGCAAAGGATTACTGAGTTTTTTTTAAATCGTAGTAGTAGCACGGAGTATGGAAATGTGCCCGGTATATGGCAATAGGCTCACCATCTATTACATGGGACTCATAATATAAATAGTGATAAGTAGGTGTTACATTGTACAGTGGTTGTTCATATTTTTTGTACAAAAATGTCTTTACATCCCTACAGAAGACATTTTGGTATAACCAAACCAGCATCTCTTCTTCATCGACGATTAATATGTAAAAAAATATGTAAGTCGCTGTTCTTTTTACCTACCTTATTTTTGTACTAACTCTGTCACACTCTCACGCACGATTTTCATTTCACGGAGATTTTCATAATTGCATTCGATATCAAAGCGGTAATCTTGATAAATCGCTCTCCCTTCCCGCTTGCCTAAGGACCACAGTTTAAAGATAAACAATAATATCTGTCAAAAAGTTTGAGTGTACGACAGGATGCCACAAACAAAGAGAAGCTTGTAAATGAATAATAAAGGGACGGAAGCGTGTCAACCTTTTTCATTGTTCGATTTCGACGCACGAGCGGCCATGTTTTTATGTCTCCATTTTTGACTATCACCGTCTACGTAATGGAGCTTCAATTATTTATTGTCCAATCAATTTGGTTTAGTAGAAGAAAGGTTAGTTTATCTTAATGGGGACAATTAAGTTCCATTGTCTTTCTGCTTGGTGGTTTGTGAAAATTCTCAAGTAGAAATATCTTAGTGATTTAGAAGTGAAACATATTTAACATCTAATGTCTAACACAAACCGCCAAAAGATCTCAATGTAGTCTCTGGATCGAACGTAGTTCTTAACGTATACTCAGTAGACCTGTCGCGGAGAACCTAACGGGTTACCGGGGCTCCGGGTCGACGTGCAGGAGAAAGAACGGGGTGGTATTTAGTCAGTAAGAGTCTGAAACTCCCTCCCGCCTCGCAGCAGTAATTCGAAGACTTTCCTCCCTTAAAAAAAAATAATACTCAGTAAACCTAATTTCGGAAATCAACATCAAACCAAAGGTTTCTGATTAACATCGATTACAATTTCAGCCGTTAGACGACCAGAAACTGGCATAAAATACTTTACTATACAAGCCACACCTCACTGCTCAAATAAGGTCACAAAGACTGACCAAGTCATTGCGAATTGTCATTTCAAGACTATACAAACTAAATCTGACGAGCAAATAATATTTTAGAAGAACCTAACGGAAAAATTACTGACAATATTCTCAAATGTCACAGAGTAAACTAATCACACTAATATTATAAAATAAAAGTTTCTTTGTTTCGATGTTTATCCGTCAATAACGCTAAAACTACTGAACGGATTCCGTGGAATTTGGTATACAGGCAGGGTATAGGCTTTAGGTTTTTTTTTTTGGAATAGCAGGCAAATGAGCAGACGGATCACCTGATGGTAAGCGATCAGCGCCGCCTATGGACACCCGCAACACCAGAGGCGCGTTGCCGGCCTTTTAAAAAGGAGTACGCTGTTTTCTTGAAGGTTTGAAGGTCGTATCGGTCCGGAAATACCGCCGACGACAGATCATTCCACAGTATTGCTGTGCGAGGCAGGAAGCTACGTGACACGCAGTTGTGGCCTGCCACCATCTATATGATGGGGATGCATATGCTGTAAATGTAAGTGATAAGATTAACAACGATTAAATGCTTTCATGGGATAAAACTGACTGCACGGTTGGTGCCGTAGCTGGGCAACCGGCTGCCGGGTAACGTGTCGCGGGTTTCATTCCCGCACGGAAGAACACTTTTTGTGATCCACAAATTGTTGTTTCGGGTCTGGGTGTCATGTGTATGTGAACTTGTGTGTTTGTAAACGCACCCACGACACAGGAGATAATCCTAGTGTATGGCAACGTTTTTTAAAAAAAACAGGAATCTTATTCTACGCGGACGAAGTCGCAAGCATCATCATCATCATCATCATCATCATCAACAGCCTATAAATGCCCACTGCTGAGTAAACCCTTTTCTCACACTGAGAACGTTTGAGCATTAATCACCACGCTTGCTCAATGCGGATTGGCGATTACAAACTTATAATTAGAAATTACAAGCTCAGGTTTCCTCACGATGTTTTCCTTCACCGTTTGTCAGTGGTGTCTAGATAATCTCAGAAAGTACATATACCTACTTAACTCGTAAAAGTCACATTGGTACTTGCCGTTGGTAGGTTTCGAACCCGCACCCTCATGCATGAGAAGCGGGCGTCTTAAACCTCCGGGCTACCACGACCTAGCAACAGTTAGTAAATAATAATAATACAAGTGCGGCAGAACTAAGCAGTATTTAATCGTGCCTAACGCTTCATTTTCAAGGTTCAATAATTTTTGTCTGACTGGGAAATCCCCAGTCCAACCTTACACTGCAAAAATACATTAGCTAGAATATACACATAAAAAGCTTACCTTTCGTATAGTTAAATAACAAATTTTTAACAATGTAATCTGAGACTAATGTTATTATTTGCTTAATTTGCATTGTACTTCTTAAATTACTCTTGAATTCAATTCCGATAGGTCGATATTGGTATTGTGATTTTTTTTTTCTCTTGAGTTGCAACACTAGCGCCTGTTATCCGTATTGCGTGGATGTTTAATAAACTAAATGTTATTGAGTTTGGCTTTGTATTCTGTAATCTGAATGTTATTTTATCAGCTACGATAGGGATTGTATTTGTATAGTTTTGACATTGAATGATTATTGAGATTTTATTGGATTGAAATTCCATTGACATTGAGATTGGTTCAAAAGTAAGAGTAACCCTGTCATATTTTAGCCGGTCCTTATAATAGTACCTATAGATTTGGGAACTTGTATCTGTAGAACTTACTTAAAGTCTGTATTCAACGTCTTAAGTTAGACTATAGATGTGACAATAATACTACAATCACATAACATAACATCACGCCTTTTATCCTCGAAGGGGTAGGCAGAGGTGCACATTATGCCACTGTACAATGTAACACCCACTTTTCACTATTTATGTTATGAGTCCCATGCAATAGGGGGTGAGCCTATTGCCATATACCGGGCACAGTACCAGACTCCGTGTTACTACTGAGATTTTTTTTAAACCCAGTAGTATGTACATTGCCCGACCCGGGAATCGAACCCGAGACCCCTTGCCCGCTAGTCGCACTTGCGACCGCAGTCGAGGCAGTACTGCAATCACGTATAAATAATAAACAGATTTACATTATCAAGACTTCAATCAAACATATTATAGCCAAGAATGTCGGTAAGTAATTCGATCGCGTTGTTTCGTTTGAACATGGAATCGATACCGAGGCATTCTGTGTATTGACGTAATGCTTTCTCAAAACCAATATAATGTGTACACACAATGGACCATTTATATGATACGGTTCAATGGGGAATTTAATTAAAGTTTATCTGTTACGAGGAATAGGTAAATAAATAACATCACGCCTTTTTGTCCCCGAAGGGGTAGGCAGAGTTGTACATTACCTACGGCACTTTGTAACTGTACAATGTAACAACCACTTTTCACTATCTATGTTATGAGTCCCATGTAATAGAGGGTGACCCTGTGCTACTACTTATTTTTTTTAATCCAGTAATTTTTCGGGAATCGAACCCGAGACCTTGCCCGGCAGTCGCACTTGCGATCACTCGGCCAAAGAGGCAGTGTGATAGGTAAATAAATGAGCTAAATTAAAATATCTATAATAATACAGAGCAATTTTTAATACAGAGCCTTAACATACCGTGCCTTAACATAGCATACAGTACCATTAGGTACTGTTGTCTAAATATGTTAGTAGATAGTATCGTTATTTAATCCATAAACACTGCTTATACACCGTGGGGGTATTCCAACATCCAATCCGGAGCTGCGGATAACCAAACAGGTAACCGGAGCGTCAATTCAAAGCAGGACCAGGAATGGGGCGGTTTGTTGAATGATTCCCCCCGCCCTCACCTAAAAAGGGAAGTTCCAAGAAACAGTCACATAATAAAGTAACACTCAGTTTTCAGTCATTCTAAATTATACTTATACATGTGAAGGGTATTGACATCTACTGCCAATTTCAAACCACACTATCAAAATGAATTTTAAATTTAAAAAAACAAGCAAGGCTGATGGTACCAAAGACTACACATAGTTTTATTATTAAAAAGAAATAACGTCTATTCGATGCAGTATACATCTATTTTATTGTTCAAACCAGTAAATCATCGACGTACTGCAACTGAGTAGCCGACCGGTTGACCTCCATCAGGTTAGACAGACGGACAGACAGACTGCAACAAAAAATAACATCTCTACTTACTATAAAACTTTTATTACATTTGAGGAAGCCACTCACAAAATATGTAAGTCATTGCATGTTTGTAAAAATATGATTTCGACATTTTCTTTTCTAAAAAAGGTGTTGATGGTAAAACGTCGCTTAGTATTTAACAATTCGCATACACACGTTGTAAATTATTTATATTATTAAACGTCGTGTGAGTGAGGTTACCGGAGGCCCAATTACCCCCCCCTTTCCTCAATCTCCCCAATCCCTGATTCCCCAACGATCCTCAAACTCCTAATCCCCAAATGGCCGGTAACGCACTTGTAGCGCCTCTGGTGTTCCAGGTGTCCATGGGCGACGCCCATGCGATTGCTTTCCATCAGGTGATCCGTCTGCTCGTTTACCGGCTTATGCCAGAAAAAAAAATGCAAAAATATAGGAAAATATAAACAATTATATTAAGAAGAAAATAAAACTAAAGTTAAGTAAATACATCATTTAATTCAATTCATACAAATAATATAAAATAAATTAGAATTAGCTATTTTCGATCAAAATTCCGTAACGTTCAATAGGTACACAATGAACAAAACAAAAGCATGTCAAAAATTAAGAAAACCAAACACCGAGCAACTAATTTCTCGAGCTCAGTCGTAAACAAACAGACAAAGCGACCGGGTGGTCTTCCATTATAATCGAAGGAATGACAGACACTTTTTATAACCCCCACACTAATCTGATTAACAATAAATAATAAAATAAAATTGTGACAACGGTCGAACACGTAGGTAAATATTGTATGTGTGTCTCAAATGGACTAATAAGAAATGAAACATCTCATTCTAGTTTTATTGAATAAGTTATAAAATTAATGTTTGCGCATTTTTATTGAAATTTGCAGTGATGTGAAAATTAATAAATATGTTTTTGATTGAATACTGATTAACAAGTTTGTAGGTGCCAATAGATTTAAGGTTTAAACATGTATTAAATATTGTAAATTCAAATTCAAATTTCTTTATTGTCGATCACAGGTTTGTACAAAATACAGGTCTTAAATATATAGGCAGTTCCCGGCCTGCATCAGGATCGGCCAATGCGTGGGTATTTGGGCATATAATAAGATAAAACACCGAGTTATAATCATCACTAATCCAACTCTAACTTTATGAAAAATTATAAGATTGTGCGGAACTTTGACGGTTCGTCGGAGATGTCTTGCGCACGCCATTCATAACCGTAGTCTGGTTCTAAAATATGGCGGCGCTGTTGTCGACCTGACACTCCGTCAGAATGACTTCTGTGGCTAGATGTCATCCTAGTTCCAAAACAAATAATAGACGGCGCTGTGGCTACGCCATCAAATATACGAAACCTCGTCCGGCGCTCTGATTGGTTGGTTCATTGGCACCGGCCAATCACAACGCCGAACGCGTACTCGTTACGATTACTTTAAACGTAAAAGAAACTCGTACTAAGGCCTATGGGTTAATAAAGTAAATGTTTTTCAATAAACTATTGGTATCGCCATAAAAGTACGAGGTGACGGGGTCTAATGGCGACATTAATTAATTTAACGGACCTTATAACTTCTTGGATCTAGGCCCCGGTTAATGTCCTAAGAAACGAGGAATCTAGGATGTTATGAACACTATTTAACATAACATAACATCACGCCTTTTATCCCCGAAGGGGTAGGCAGAGGTGCACATTATGCCACTGTACAATGTAACACCCACTTTTCACTGTTTATGTTATGAGTCCCATGTAATAGGGGGTGAGCCTATTGCCATATACCGGGCACAATTCCAGACTCCGTGCTACTACTGAGAACTTTTTAAAACCCAGTAATACTTTGCCCGACCCGAGAATCCAACCCGAGAGGGTTGAATTCTCGGGTCGGGCAAAGTATTAAGGGGTCTCCCCCTTGACCGGCAGTCGCACTTGCGACCACTCGGGCAACAAGACAGTCCAATTTTATTAATATCAATATCAAAACGAAAGTCCGAATATAATATTTTATAACAAAATACTATGTATTATGTAGATCAAAAACTTAATTTATTACCGTAGAATTATCGTCATAATTGGCGAAAAGTGTTTATTATACTGTTAGTCGACACACCTTTAAATACGCCTTCGGGGGATATAATTGGACTGACAATAACTATAATATCTATAAAAGTATAAAATAAATTGTATTCGTAATCATTACTTTGAAATTGCCCTTCCGATATTTTCTACTCAAATGCTACCAGCAATAGTGTATTTATTTATTATATATTTATTAACTCTTTAATGCACACAAAAATTAAGTATATTATATATGTACTTTATAAGGCGGACTTAATGCCATATGGCATATTCTCCCAGTCAACCTATGGGTTAAATATAGAATCAGCGAAAATATGCAAAAAAAAACAAAATAAATAACTAATAGTAATAATAAATACGTACTGTACAAAATACTGTATAAAAATATATAATAACTACAAAATATGTACAAAAATAACTATATATAATTATAATTAGGTACATTATAATATAATTATCGACGACACAAACTCAGCGTTGTAGCGCCTTTAAATAGTGTACTAGTGGAAAAATTGCAAATAGACTCAAACCATAAAAATATCGTCATAACTTTGACTAAGATCTAAGATAATAGAAATTGGGAACAGATTCAGCTTAATATCATCATCGGCCTAACTATAACGATCACAGTGAAAACTGAACAAGAACAATTATGAAAGGTTTATCATAGATAATGAGGTACCTAATGGGCTGCAAATAAACTACAAATTTCAAAGTCAAAGTCAAAGTCAAAATCATTTTTTTCAATTAGGCCAGAATGGCACTTTTGTACGTCAACAAAAAGAAAATTACAAGTGAAGCTATTTGCTCATTCCAAGGTGTAGATTCCTATGGAGAAGAACGAGCAAGAAACTCCATAGGTTACTCTTTTTCAATCAGGTTCACAATACAATTTACTAGTTACATAGTTTTGCTGTTTGGATTGTGCGAGAACAATGTAACACTAAAATCCAGTCAAAGTGATTGAAAAAGAAAATTAATGCCACTATGGACTAATAAAGTATTAAATTAGTCGGTGGATACGACTACTAAAACCTATTAACTGGAAACAAATGCGATAAATGGTAATTGGGTAAACGAAACTCAAAAAAAAATTACGAGGCCCAAATAAGTAGAAAAAATAGCACCATAATTTTGCACGTGTTCCATCATGATATAAAGTAATTGATAGGTCTATGTATCAATCAATAAAAAATAACTGCCCACAGGTGAAACATTCGCACTGGTTAATACCTTAATAGTTAGTTTACAACGATTTATTACTGATAGTAACATTATTGACTAGTTAAATCTTCACTAACTTTACTTAAAGTTAACTGTACAAAGGGCGTCGAACTTCTTAGCAATTTGTTTTTAGAAGTATGTATAGGCTTTAACATACCTTCGTATTTAAATTTACTACTTGATGTATTGAAGCTATTTATCGTTTTTGGCACAACAAACAAAATATTGTGGTCATGTAAATAGCAGACAAACCGCTGTACTCAAGAGTCTTTTTTTTAAGGGGGGGGGGAAATCATCGAATGACTGCTCCCGCCTGGGTGAGGCGGGAGGGAGTGTCAGTCTCATACGGACTAAAAACCATCCCGTTCCTTCTCCTGCACGTCGAGCCGGAGCCCCGGTTACCCGTTAGGTTACGTACTCAAGAGTCTATGGTTAAGTATTTACGTACTTAACCCAGTCCAGCAATTGTTTTTGAAACAAAATCGTTACTCAGAAATAGTATACGAATCAATAACTGTCTTCTTCTAAAACGGAGATTAATTTTAGTACTGGGATTCGTCTTAGGTTTAAGCTACGGATCAAATAAAATCTTATTACAAAGTGAAGTTTATCGCTAATTTAACTAAAAATCGCGGCTTACTCACGTGAAAATAATGAGAAAAGGTCTACTAGTTTCGAAAAACAGAGGGGTTCTTCCTCATAAACAGCGTGCGCGGTCATGGCGATGTCGAGCGGCCTACTGGCTAGCGTTAGCACTTGCATTGCGTTGGTATAGTTATAGGCGTTGTGAGCCCATCGGGCCCTATCCACTATTAGGGTATTTGGCGCATGCGACGATGTTGAGGAAGAGCGCCTCTGTGGTTCGAAATTAGTAGAGCTTTTCTCAGCATTTTCACGTGAGTAACCTGCGATTTTTAGTTCATTTAATAAGTCTCATGGTAGTTATTTTATTGCTAATGTTAGTACTATCTATAGTACCAAAGATAAACCCACGAGACTCTAAGTATATCTATAGAACTAAGTTCGAAATATCTCTGAATACAGCAGAAAGGTGCAAACTCTAATGTTTGCAAAAATGGACGTCTATTTTTGAGACGGATGCTGCATATAAATGCAGCGTTCATTTTTCCAAAGTTAAGCTATGTGATCGATTGAGGGATCTATTTCTATTAAATCTTAAAGCGAATTAATATATTTTAAGTGCTCCTACGATCAATTTATTTTTACAATGTAAGGCTATGAACTAGAGTAATTTTATACCGTTCTGCTTTCTCCATTAATGGATCATGTTTTAATAATAACGACTAGTTGAATTTGCTTCCAGCTAATACTTGACCACTCTGGTGGTCCTCTTGTTGTTACCAAACAAGGCTTCGGTTCGGCTACTAGCTGTCATGATTTATTATTTTATTAGTTGTATCTTTAAGGTAACAAATAAATAGATAACCTATCTTATTCTTATACTTTTTTATACATGGAGTCAGAAAGAGTCTGACATTCCCTCCCGCCTTACTCAGAAGTCAATCGATGATTTTCCATTCCACCCTTAAAAAACAAAATACTTCTCATACGATTGTATAAAGCTGAACAGTTTGTTTGATTGTTTGTTTGTTTGATCGCGCTAATCTCAGGAACTACTGGTTCGATTTTAATAATTCTTCTTGTGTAATGTCATATAAAACATCTCGCTAAGATATTTATAAGCTGAGCAGAGCGGATAAAACTGCGTGGAAGGAGCTAGTTAGATAATAAAGGATTGCGTTTAGTATTGCAGTTATATGTACATAGTACCTATAGCTTATAGTTCAAATTGGTATCAGTACCATCATAGTTAAACTTGCACCTTTGCAAAGGTTTCAAGTACACAGTACTTGCTGGGAATGTATTATGAATGTACCAGGTATTGGTGTAATATAGATGATAATTTTATCCCTCTATTTACATTAACTGCTATCTTTACTCATATTATTTTATTATGGTTTAGTATTCATAGGGAATACATTTTCTCTATAATGTATGATAAAATGATTTTCA